TTGTAATATTTCTGGAGAATTGCGGGTGTTATTGTTAAAGTTAATTGATTTTTTAAAATTAATCAGGAAATTTCATTTCATTTCATTTTCTATCCTTCTTTTGGACAGGTGCTTGATTGGAATCCCAACGGAAAAGCTAGTTTAAGCTCTGACTTTGTTGTTTTGCAACAACACATGTCAGATAGACTCAACCGCTCGTTTTTAGCGGCCCTTCAACAGAAAAATTAAAGGCAATTGAAAGAAGAGTTTCGGATGACTGAATACATTCACGAGATAAGGTTACACGCTACGGTGACTTACAAATTGTACATTTGTTCCGTGGAGCAAGTTCGCCCGAGGGTTTTTTAACAACAAGATAAATTTAGGCCGATCGTTGTGTGACATAACGCAAACCAGCCCCAGACGGATTGGCAAGGTTGAGCCCAGTTCAACTTTGCCGATTATCTACGTTGGGTCAAAGAGTAGGCCCAAACAAGCATGCACGCTGGCATGACAGGGGTACAACGATGTTGCTCTTGCTTGGTACCACTCATTTTGTCCCTTTTCTCCTTATTGCTAGCATAAGCAGCGCCAGTCGTCAACACAATAGCTGACCCTTAGCAAATTACATTCAACTGGAGTATCAGTTTGATTTTAAGATACAACATTGCCACCTAAAAAGGAAACTATGCAAAAGGTTTCCAAGTTTCGGACGACATTTGTTTAATTTTTTGGTGGAATGACCTTGCACAGCGTCTCTTCTGGGAACGTCAGACATTGCAAACGACCGTATGGAAAACAGGCTTAACGTAAACCATTCGACGTGTGGCATTTATGGGGAGAAGGTTGGCCCTTGTTCATAAAGGGAAACAAAAAGTACAGTAAGAACAGTAGACACCACAAGAAATAATCCTGTATTCAACAAGGCTACTGAGGAATAACTATTTGAAATTTACTCCAAAAGGAAGAAGTTTCAAGGTGTACATATCAGTCGCAAGTTATTCGATTCTGAGATTTCAACCAATGAAAGAGATTTTGGAGCGTTTTGTAGACTGCAACTCACGGACTAATTTTAGCACACGAGAGTCAAAGGATTCCGAAATACCCTTCTATGATGTGTGTGCAGGCGGGGCATACATAGTGTGGACCTCTGCACAAAAGAAGTCCACATAATTTAGGGTGTGGTGGACTCGCACACGTCTACACAATGTTTTCGCCTCTCTAAAAACAGCTTCAGAGGCATTTTGGGGTCAGGGTAATGGTTGCAAAATGAAGAGGAACACTCCAGAAAATCATCACAACACAAGGCATAATTATGTTGTAATTAATGAGCAAGGGAGTAATGAGTAGAACAATTGAGACTGTCATGTCCCAATTCTCTTTATAAGCAGCTATGATACCGGACCCTTGATTTGACGAGAATAGTCGTAATGACTATTCTCGTCAAATCAAGGGTCCGGTATCACCGGTGCACCCAATGTTCAGGTGGCCAAAACCGGGGGAATTCCACATTCGGGTAGTATTGTTAATGTTTGGGTATTCCCCGCCGTTTCTGTTCGCATAATGAGATTGATGATGGTCTGACGAGTCGCGATCGGGTCGGGTTGAACCATCCGATCGAGTACGCCCACGATAAAAGTATGGTGTACTGTTTACGACAGACATTTCTCTCTCTCTTTAGCCTCCCTCCAGGCGACGCAACTACACGACGCGATGGCACGACGGCTCGCTTGCGTCGTGTCGTGCGTCGTGTAGTACTTCAGGCCACCCAACACAACGACGTGAAGCCACGACAGCTCCGTCGCGTTGTCCCGTCGCGTCGTGGTGTCGCCTCTTTTTTCATTACTTTTATGCTGTGCTTAATACATTGTGCCGTCGGGTCGTAACGTCGTGGCGTCGCGTCGTGCCGTTGTATCGTGCTGTAGTGCCGTCGTAGCTAGTGTCGCATTGTGCCGTCGCAGCGTCGCGTCGCCTGTCATTGTATGGTTTTTATGCAGTGTGGGTTAGGCCGTCCCGTCCTGCCGTTGTGCTGTCGCGTCCTGAAGTCTTGCCGTCGTGTTGTGCTGTCGCATCGTCGTCCATCGTATCGTGCCGTCGTGCCTGACTGTTTTTAACAATGGTTGGTGATTACTAAGGCCAATAGAGGGCGTATGTCACAAGTCCTGGAAAAACGTATGTGCGAGCACAGGGGTACATTCATTGATCTCCATTATAAAGACTGGATAGGGCATCGCGTCTAAAACGCGTTTCGCGAGTGCATATTTTCAGGAGGGTAAATAACAAGCGTTGCGAATTTTATTGCGTGCACTTTCAAACGCAGACTTCAAAGCTGCTGGTTTAGGTCATTGTACTGCAATCGTAAGATTTCGAAGAAAAACTGAATTCTGTCCCCGAAATGGATAAATTTGGAAAGAATAATGGTTGAGGTTTGAGCAGCAAAGAATTGCCAGAGATCGATGGTAAAATCAAGTTGGGAAGAAGGAGCACCTTTTGACATGTGAGTTACACGTTCAGAAAGTTTCTGCAAGCCTTGTGCTATAATGCTTGGGACTGTGTGAAATATTATGTATCGGCAAAAGTGGTTTAAAAACTGAATGGTTAATTTGTCGTTTATTTTCCCCATATTTCACTGGAAAAATCTCGGCGAAAGCCATAATTTGTGTATGTGAGGTCTGCAGACGCTTTGATCTAAAATGGTGTGACAGAGGATGTGATATGAGTGACGGAGTCTCCATCTTCAGGGTAGAGATGAAACTAGAGCGAGAGACAGAGACCTGACGTTTCCGTCGAGTGAAGTAACAAACAAGGTAATTCAATCAACGCAATGAAAGAAACTTTGTTTAAATTATAAAATTATTCGTTCTCAGTTAACACTGACCTTTTTCTTTTCGGAAAGTCGTTGTTAAATGTAAATCTTTAGTCAAGTTGGAAACTCAGTTTTTTATTTGGTTTATAAGTGTCTGTTGTGAAAGTGGCACAAACTTAATTTGTTTGGTTCGCAGTCAAAGTTCTGCTCATTTTGTGCTCACAGAAAAGATTCTCACACTTATCAGTTTTTAATAAATTTATTCAGTATATGAATGAATTTCAGTAGGACAGTGTTTCCTGTACGTCTTTAAAGTTAATGCTTTTTTCATTTAATTGATGAAGTTTTTCAGTGTTGACTCATTGACACCAGACGGAAAAACACGTGGACAGTTTGTACATTATAATGTAAAACTTATTTTGGGTCTTGGTGGAATTTTACTGTTTACACACTCAACAAATCACGATTGAACCGACCCAAAGTGACAACAGTGCCCGAGTAAGACGGTCGACAAGAGGTGTGTAAACTGAAGAAAAACAAAACACAACACACAGAAAAAAAACAGGTTAATTATTATCAGTTTCGAGTGGGTTATTTAATTTTAAATTTTAATTAAAGAAAATGGCCTTTCAATTCGAGAAATGCATTAGAATTTTTTCTCCATAATCAATTTGACTAAATGACCACCATACAGGACGTTACCCTCCTGAAACGCAGTGCGCCGCCACTGTGCAGTGGCACATTTTGTACACATACAATGGGCGATGAACTATTAGTCTTTATAATGGAGATCAATGGTTGCACTACACAAAATATGCGCCCATAGAAAACTGTGCAAAATCAGACCGAAATAGCGCCGCATTTGTCGCTGGAAATTCACGACTATGACCAGAAGATCGTTTCAATTTTATGGGGGTTAGCCATGTGAATTTTTTTTATTCACCTGTCCCCGAAACCCCCCCCCCCAAAGAGTAGTATGTACTCAGCTCTGAATGTAGCCGCTCGGCTCAATCCAAAATAGGTCCGCAATTTGGGGCTTTTTGTGAAAGAAATACCCCCAAGGTGGAAACGATCAGTCCCAATTCGGAATTTATAGAAATGTTTCCATGATCCCTCCTGATTACAGTATGTCTTATTGTAAAAGCCCCCGTGGGATCATAAAATATGAATGAGCTCTCGCCCAGGAATCCAACGATTTGGTGGAATGCACCCATAGGGCCTAAAAGATTTGATCATGAAAAATGAAAACTGAACTTAACCCTCCCGATTTCCACCAGTTATGAGGCAATGGTGGGAGCACAATGCGACGGCACGACGCCAAGCGGCGACGGTACGACGCGACTACACGACGCTGGCTGAGGCGATGACGCAACAGGTTGACGCTGCGACGCGACGGGTCGACGGCACGACGCAACGTCACGACGCCACGTCGTGACGGTGCGACACAATGCATTATACGCAATATAAAATTAAAAGTTATTTGAAAGGAGGCGACGCCAGGACGCGACAGCACGACGCAACGCAACAGAGCTGTCGTGGCGTCGCGTCTGGGCGACGGGACGACGCGATGCACATTTGGCTGCTATAGAACACCATAGAAATAGGGGCGCCCGTAGACGACGGAGTTAAGTTCAATACCGATAGATACTATTTTTCATGAGTATTAAAATCTTGTAAGGTCTATAGGTGCATTTCACCAAATCGTTGTATTTCTGCGCAAGAGCTCGTCAATATTTTGTGATCCCACGGGATGTTTACAATAAGATATGCCATGATCAGGAGGGATCATAAAAACATTTCTATAAATCCCGAATTTGGGACTGACAGTTTCCATTTCGGGGTATTTCTTTCACAAAACGCCCAAATTGCGCGCCTCTTTTGGAGTGGAGTCGGGCGGCTACATTCAGAGCTGAGCGCATATGTTTACTACTATTTTGGAGGATCTTCGGGAAAAGGTGAATAAAAATTTTTTCGTGGCTAACCCCCATAAAATTGAAACGAAAAAGGATCTGCTGGCCATAATCTTGAATTTCCTGTGAAAAAATGGAGGCCAACTGCTTCACTAGAGTCAACAGGCGGCGCGGCTATTTCGGCCCGATTTTGCACTGTTTTCTGAGGGCGCGTACTTGGTGTCGTGCAACGGCAGACATAAATAACCCTAGCCAAATATGCATAGCGCCCTCTAACGTCCATCGCAAAACTCAGGGAGTATCAACAATGCGTAGACATATACTAGTATGCAGGACTTCCCCCGCTAGGTGTACGTCATGTCAGGCAGTAAATTGTCGGTGCATATTTGCAAATTGTTATCAGGTATTTGAGTTTTTCAGCAGAATTTCTTGCAGATGTATTTGCCGCACGAAGGGTTCGTTGACGTTTAAACCCTGACACTGACAACCTATTCAATCAACTTCCTCCATTGTCACTGATTGTCTCCTTGGATGTTGGATCGCCCATGATGACGATAAAAACGTGATTAGTAATCCTACCTACATGCTTATATTTTATAATCACGTACACGTAGGGCCTAGGCCTCCATAATGCCGCCTAGCCTTGGAAAGTTTGACTGAGAGACCCTAAGTGCAGGAATCACGCGTAACAAAATTTGCAAACTTTACTCACTCATCAGCCTTTAACAATTATCCACAATTTAAACGTCTTTCATGAAGTGTAATTTGCTGCCATAAGCTAGGCCTACACCGTGACCTATGCCTTCCCCCCCCCTAGTTTAGAGTAGAGTGGATGGTTGCGTGGTGCAATGAGTCACCCATGAAACCATTGCATGATTGTGGTTAGATCAACAGGTTAGAGTTGTAGATTTAAAGAGTGTTTCCTCCTCCTAAACAAGTTGCAGTAGTTTGCTTTCATATTTTCAAATGCAAAATTACATGGAAATTGGAGGACATGTAATTTTCCTTCTTGTGATTCCTGGCTTTAGAGGTTTTTGAGGAGAAAGTCTAAAATTTCACTCCGGCTGAAATTCATCTTGTGGTAAAACAATGGTAATGTAAGCATAGAACCCAGATGTAGATGACAGCACATGTTCAAGTCCCATGCCGATACAGCAGCAGAAGCCTGTCAGGACTCTTAACTGGTGACACATTTGCTGCTTTTTTTAATGTAATATATATTAAACCCGGAACCAGTCCTAATAAATACCTTTTGCTGGCCTTTGTACACCTAGGGGGCTAGTGAAAGTTAACACTCACCTTAAATACTTTGCCATATAATCACTTGGTCACAAAGGATAAATTTATCAACAATGTGTATGTGGAATCAATACGGGGGTTTCACAGTGGTGCACTACCAAGAGTTTGCAATGCACTGGCCAATCATAATGTTCAAAATCTGTCGACCCTGTGTGCTTTTGTGATTGGCCAGCATGTTGCAAACTTTTGGAGGCACACTATTGTGAATCGCCCATATTCGGTGCCAAAATTTTTGAAAATAAGAAAGTGCTCACAGATGATGGCTATAATGTACACTTTGTTTTTTAACATTTCACATGCTATTGTTGAAGGTCCATAGTGTGATGAGAACATGAAGTGTTAGTATGGCTGTTAGTGCTCCACCCTTGACAGTACCCCCCAGGCTTTTGGACCTGTTGGTGGACTTCTGTATCACTCATGTCGAGACGTTCTGCCATACCAGCAATGGTAGCCAAACACCCCAGGCCCTGCACCCGGACGTGATCATTCCCGCCAACATGGCCGACATATTTCTGGCCAAAGTTTGCAGGCGGGGGCTGGCTTCATCAAAGCTAGACGGCTTCGTTGGGGTGTTCTGCAACACAAAGCAGGCCAGCCTGCAGCAGGTGGACCTGAGCCGATCCGACATCTCCGACCGGGCCGTGGCGCACCTGGCCCGCCACCGCTTGCTGGAGCTCAGCCTGGCTAACTGTGCCAAGCTGACCTCAGCCTGCCTGCCAGACCTGATCCGGCAGACGGCCCTCCGGGTGCTGGACCTGAGTGGGGATGCCCCCCTCCTGGCCAGCTATGGGCTCCCCCGCTTTGAGTTCCCACTAGAGAATCTGCGGGTACTGAACATCAGCTTCACTGAACTCAGTAGCACACAGCTCCACTGCCTGGTGAAGCAGCTGGTTAATCTGGTGTCCCTAGATGTATCAGGCATTGTGCGGAATGGAGACCTGCTGTTTTTGAAACCGCTTTGTGGCCAGCTTCGGTCACTCGTACTGCATGACTGTATGCTGGTTGACAGCAGCTTAGACTACTTATGCAATCTAACACAGCTGAGGTAACGACAGTATAAATTTTTAAAAAATCCTTCCAATTTTGTTGAAATTACTGAAAGCTTTCTATAGTTAAGTCAGCATCGAGTTTGTGTTTGTGTAAAATAGTCGGAGTAGGGCCAGTCAGCTCCGAGTGGAACGAAAGAGGGCAGGGTTTTTTTTGGTACTCACTGCATAGGTGCACCATGGGGCACGTAAGTATATGCACGTTTGACGCGGGAGTGTGCCGAGTACTCATAACTAATTTATTGATTGTATAGTCTTTACATTGTCTTTGCGTTCACGCAGAACACGTGCAAGAAGCCGCTTGTAACCACCTGTCTTTCTTTTGCCGATTGGGGGTGCACTTCAGCTCGGAGCGGATATAGTTTTGAATCTCAGAAAAAAAGTATTCCCTCTGGAATATAACTTTATAATATACAAGGTTCTTCGCTTTAGTAGACTTAGGTTTCTTTTGTACAACAAGTTGAACAGTTTCGCTTCCACTATAAGCCCAATCAGGAATTGTTTAAGAAGTAATGTATCTTTTTTTATCTTCCAGACATTTAGATATCTCTATTGTTCACACCCAGCTACGAGTTTCACTAACGAATAAATACTTGCGAAGGCTAGTCAAAAGTTTACAGCATCTTGTTTCCCTGGACATTTCCGGAAACACTTACGAGAACAAGAAGACAGAACGACAACGGTGAGCAAGTTTTAAGTGCGCTGCATATTTTGTATTTTGGCTATGTGAAGGATCATAGTCCTTCACTTTTCCTGTTACTCAGTGACTAGTTTTTGACTGACTTTTGCAGTAGCCTACATGAAGACTGCAAAGCATCTTTATCATCAAGTCCACAATATGGGTTTTTTGGTACATACGTCCTTTAGCAAATTAGTCTGGTACTTAGTGCTCCTGTTGATAAGTAAAAGAATACCCACGAGTTTAGTATTTTTATGAATAGTGATACAAGTTATATTCACAATACAGGCTGTCAAATGTACCATGGTCAGGTAGTCCATTTTGTGGAGGGTGATCTTAACTGCTTCTGTAGTTGAAAGTATCTTGAGTCCTCAAAGTCCTTGCAAGTACTTCACAAATCATCTAGTCTTACGATAACAAGCCACAAGTTGTTCAGAGAATAGCAATCAAGAAGCACTTCAGTGTCACTGTTCTTCTTGTTACTTGCAACAAGACTTGTGAAGGACTTTACTTCAGTCTTGGTCCTAACCAAATTATTAAACTCTAATTTGTTGGTGTTTCTGTTAGAGATGCGCTTCATCCAGTACCAGCCAGTTCATCCCCACCATCATCTCCTCCTCTGCATCCTCCAAAAAAAGACAGAGAGATTGTGAGGGATTCGAAGGGGCAGTCCGAGCCCGAGCAAGAAGCGGCCATGGATGAGATGGAGACAAGCCCAACAGGAGGTGCTGCAGGAGCAGCAGCAGTTTTGCAACTGCCACCGCAGCAGCTGCAGCAGCCGGTGGAGGCAGAGGGGGATGTGGTGAGGGTGAGAAGCTGCATCCCCGGCCTGAGGGGCTTACCCAAACCGCTGGAGTTCCTGGGGGTCCTTGGCCTGGAGGGTCTGGAGGAGAGTGAGGCAGATCAACTGCCTGCTCTTAGGGTGAGTAACAATGCACAGGAATCCACTGAAATCCAAATCTAAAGAATCCAACAGATTTCTTTTTAAGGCAAACAGAAGCCTTTCGTAGCTGTCTGAATTTAAAAAATCAATCAAAATCTAACAAAATTCTCCCAAGTGAAACAAAATCCTTTCAGACCCGTCCAAAATTATCAACATCCATTCAAACCCAGTGGAATCTATCCAAGTTAAGCACTGAGCTCCAATCTGGCAAATTCCATCCAAATTCAAGGGGAGCATTTGCACATCAATGGGAAGATTGAACATGGAGGAACAAAGACAGCCTTTTTCTATCTCATGCTTGGGCCCTCTTCACACATTGAAGTTTCTCCACTATTTGTCATTAGAAAATGTTCATATAAAGAACATTTACTTCATTTTGCTGTTGAAAATAACGTGTTTTTCTCCTCCATTTTTCAGGTTGCAGGGATATTTACAGAAGAACACATCCTTAATTCCATTGATGTCTACCTAAAGCGAAAACCATTTCTCCTTGAAGGCTTGAATGGTTACTTTGATTTGCTTCGGGCTGTGGAGTGCCTGAAACCTTCCAAAGCAGTAGAGGTATGTCACTGGAAAGCTTGTCTCTGAATCGTTTCCTTGTCTGAATTTGAAACCACTTTTAGTTCAACAAAAGGCTGGCATACTAGCTATTTCATTAAAGCAATGTGTTGCTCTTTTTCAGAAAATGACGAAGTTAGTGAATTTGTTGTGTCAAACTATGGGAGTTTCAATTTGGCACCTGATTAAAATGCATCAGTTGAGTCAGAGGCCGTGTCCGAAACGGGCTTCCAGAGCTACGGCTAGGTCTCTTGTTGAGCGTCTCCACGCATTTCCAATGAAGCAAAGACCTAGACCTAGCTCTAGACAAGAGATTTGTATGCAGCCACAAATTGGGGCACCCAAGTCGTCAGTGTTTTGCTTAAAATATTTTGCCAGGTCCTTTTGTAAAGTTGAGTATGAATGATATGTGGTACCCAGACTTATTCCAACGTTCTGCACATGTATTTGGGGGCAAGATTTTCCATGGCAACATGAGAGTTGTCCCTCTTCAGTGCATTCTTCACGGTGGGTGAGTGGGGCATCGGATCGTGCTCCAGCTTGCAATTCCTTGCAGAAATCTTGCCCTGACTTTGCAGTTTCATTGCAATAGGTGGAAGCAGACCTTGGGGGGGGAGGAGGAGCAAGAGGGATCAGTAACAAACGAGGAAGCAGCAACAAATTGTATAACTTTTCCAATGACTTCTCTCCATAGTTCATACTAGCTGCAATGAGGTACCATCCGAGGGATAATCAGATACAAGTATCAGCCAGGTAAGCTCATGAACCAAAAAGGAGAGAAGGACAGAAAAACCCTGACTTTCTCTATGACATCAACATGTGACAACCATTTTAATAGATGGCAGTGTAATGCAAAGACATTGGTAAATGCAGCACTTCATAGAAACGAGGGTGGTTAGTGCTTAGTCAAGTCAAATGTATCTCAGAAAGTAGACCTGGTAGGCAGATGTTTCATTCTTTCAAACCAACTCACGTCCTTGTTCTCTTTGTGTATGATTACTGATACGGATCCATGCAACAAGACTGGAATTTCTCTTTCCTGCAGTGCCTCTCTCTACCATCTTACTCGGGGAACATACAGCGATCGTCTCAGTATACACCATAAACAGTAAGTGGCCGTCAGCAGGTTTGAGAGGAGCTGTCCTGAACCCTTCCAAAGCCTGTGCTGGAAATCGCTGGCTCTTTCTTTGTAATTAACTTTTCCCAGGGCATCAACTTTCTTGCAAAGTCTCCAAAAAATTTGGAAGGATTTTGAAGGATCTGGAAGGGTGAGGGTTAAAAGCAGCTTTAAGTGTGAAGCTCAGGGAATTTCCTAGAATGGTCTTTAACAGTCATGGTATCATTTGAATCCATGGCACTACTGATGAAGTGCAAAACCTTTCTACATGAAGCTTCACACTATCTTTACAGAGCAATCATCACCTGCCTTCTGGATGCCATAGAGACAATCACAGACAGTATCACCCTCCTCCAGAACTGTGGCCTTACCCTCTTCAACTTCCGCATCCCTGAGGAGTTCACCTGGCAGTTTGAGCGGGTGGTGACCAACCTGGTAAAGCTAGCCCTGACCGAGGACCCACGGGGTCTCCTGCAGCGTATCTACGTCCACATGTGCAACTCCATCGTGTGCCATGTCGAAGGCGAGCAAAAACTGCTGGTTGGGAGGCTAGGAATAATCAAGGTAAGGTTCAGAGGTCACAGGAACCAAATAAGTGTGTCTCAGTGTTGTAGGTCTCGAGACATCGAGACTGTTTTTTTCCTGGTCTCGGTACGCTGTGGTCTTGGTAGTTTGCTGTCATCGGTATCCAGACCACCAATATTGTATACAAACGTAAACTTGCACTCATTGTGCAGAATAGATTACACCCGACTCTACTCGTGATCGTATGTAGACTGTACAGTAGTGTTGCTGTCATGTGAACGTACAGTATACGATACAACCCCTTTTCCCAATACTTGACATGTAAACCTGCATGGAATGAGATCGCAAAATGCATGAACTACGTGTTGTATAGTGAGGCAGCAACCAGCGGCATTGTTAATTAACTTAAGTAATGTTTTAGGTCTACAAGGAAGCTGTCTTGATGTCAATAAAAAGTTGTATTTCCCTTTGTTGCAGATGATACTTGTATTTGTAACGCTTTTTCAAATCTTTTATTGCATATTTTACATATAAGGTCTCGGTCTCAGACTTTAAGGTCTCAGTCTCGGTCTTGGACCATCAGGTCTTGGTCTCTGTCTCAGTCTCGGACTTCCAGGTCTCGACTGCAACACTGGTGTGTCTCAGATGCAACAAATGATAGATGTGCACCATCATCATGTGTTATTTGGAGAGTGCACAAGCGGCAGACTGGGAGACAAGGGATAATTAAGTTGAAAGTCTGAGTTCACCCATACCAAACAGTTCTGAGGTGGAGATGTTGATGGATAGACACCTCTATTGTGTATCATGCAGAGGGTGAGCAAACACTGGTTTGGGTGCTAGAAGTAATCAAAATAAAGGTCCGAGTAGTCTCAGATGCAGAGGTTCATGTATGTGTAATGCTCTTATTTGTCATGTTGAGTTCAGCAAAAACTCATGGTTTGGAGGTTAGGGTAGACTACGGATAGCCATCACGAAGCTCAGAGATAACTGATACCAAGTAAGTTAACCTCTGCAGAACAGTAAGAACTCATAGCAAACGTCACAATCACAACTGTTCACAAAGAACCCTGAGAATCCTGTGTGCTGTTTCTTTCTTGTGATCAGTGTATGCTGCAGTTGATCAGAGATCGCCTGGAGAAGAATAGGTGCGATGAGGTTATGGAAACTGCTTGGAGCACATTATGGAATGTAACAGGTGGGTAACCCTTCCAACCTGTCCCTTCTCTCTCCCACAGGAATTAAAGTTGTTATACCCTGAGGCACTCAAGAGAGCCTCCATTGATTTGGCCTGAAGCAGAACTGGTTAAGCAAAGCAAAGCAAAGAACACACTGTAAAAGTTAAGAGATGGAACTGTTGATCAGAACTCAAAATGCTACAGTTTTTGCACGGAGTGGGCTCTAGTGTCATATTTTGGTCAAGCTGAAAATTTAGCTCATCACATTTCCATACTACGTGAAAATCAGCTCAGCACCAGGCAAAAGGAATATGCCATGCATAATATTTTACCTGGAAATCAGCTTTTTCTAAGAAAGGATTTCTGTGTTAGGCAGATTTATACATTGGTGTAAGGTTTGTACATGGGTGTAAGGATTGGCCCAAGTTCTTCTCTTGCCAAGAGCTATGCAAATGGGAGACAGGTAGGTGTATGTTTGGTAACTCTGCCCAGAATGGAATAACCTGTGAATACAAGAGTGAAGAGGGCCTTCTGGTTTAAGTGTATCGTGGGCCATCCATTATACTGCATACCATCCTGCACGAGGCAAGATGGAGAATAGATGTCCTTCAGTGACATTGGTTTTCCAATTAATTCACATATGAAATCCAGGAAGGAGCAATGTTCCTGTTTAATTGGAAAGATGCTGGCAATGGGTATTTCTAGAATGACCAAAGTTTTTTGTGTCGAAGCAGACGAAACCGGAGACAACTGTGAGATGTTTTTGGACGGCAGTGGGATGGAGCTGTTCCTGAAATGCAGAGAGGTGAGTGGAATTTTAGACAACTTGACCACTTGTACCCTTGACTGGAACCCTTCCAAGTAATGAGCAATCCATACTCACCAAATGCGCGGCATGTATTATGTTGCTTCTTGAAGCTGGAAATCTTAAAGAATTGACAGTCTTAATCATTTTCAAAATTCATTTCTTTCAACAAGAGGTATCCTTGAAAATATACCTGTGATATGTTTTGTCTGTGAATGTTTAAATTAAGTTGACCCCTGTCAGAATTCATTGTTCATCAAGGCAAGCTGTTTGGTTGGCATGTAAAAAAACCTTTTTTCCCTGGAAGGTTTTACATGCAAGTTTTTCTGGGCAATGGAAATGAGTGATGCATGACCTTAGAAATTCATCCAAGATATCTGTGAACAGCTTAATAGCCTTAATTAACTGTCACGTCACTGCATTTCCATCATAAGCCAGGTCACAAGCGTTCCAGTAAGAGCATGCCTTTGTCATTATTCACCCTGTTACAAATGAATTGTCTTGTGACAGAAGTTGTGACTGGATTTATGGCAGGACTTGTGATAAACTTGACCACAACACCTGCTCACAGCTCTGTTATGTTCTTCCCCTGTTTGTGGTTTCCCTTCTGGGGGGGGGACACCTTACACATCTTGTTAAAGCCTGGGGGAAATTATGGACTGTTTCTATTTTGTTCAATTTATTTGTGATACCAGACCTTTCCAAACAAGCCAGAGCTTCTGAGGAATATGATGGGGTTGATTGGCAATGTAGCCGAGGTCCCAAAACTCAGGAAGCAGCTGCTCAAGTATGCCCCGGTGTTCATGTAAGTACGCTTAGGGTCACATTAGATGGCAGCTAACCAAAATGCAACTATTTGTGAGTGGGATGGAAAAGAAAACCCAATGCGGACTTTCAAGAGGCCATTTTTCAACTCTTTGTTCAACTTTCTATGTGTATTGCTGTCTTTAATGGTGATTGATTACTTCTGGTGATAAAACAAATGATTCCTATAAAACACCCAAGGCACTAAAGCTTACAAGCCTAGATTGCAAGAAGCATGTTACACTACAGTTTAGCAGGGAGAAAACACCTGTAAAAGAATGTAGATTAAAACCCAAAGAGACAGGTAAGGAATGATAACAAAATCAACAAACCTTGGTGGGATTCAATGTAGGTCGTAATTAAAGATGAGGTCTCTGAAGTCAGAGTTTACCTTTTGCTTGGTCCAATCAGGGAGCTGCTGGAAAACTTTAGCGATGGGATTGAGGTGAGCTACAATGCGGCAGGCACTCTGTCTCACATTGCTGCAGATGGCCCCGAGGCATGGACGATCTCTCATCCACGACGATGCGATGTCCTGGACCTGATGAGCAATGCCATCTCTTCTTGGGAGCTGAACACGCAAAGAAATATCAACTACAGGTGAAGGAAAGACAGTAACAGGTTGTCAACAAGGGGTATAATGACACATCATATATGGTATTATAATCAAGCTGTGCTGTGGACAGGGCTTAGCCAAGTCCATCATAAGTCCCTGGATGTCCATTCAGGTCATAAGCCAGGTCGTGAGCTGTTCAAGTGAAATGTGACAGAAGCATACCCCTATCATTGTTCATTCTGTTACTTGTGATTGGATTTGTAAAAGGACTTGGGACCTGGCTTGCAAAAAGACTTATGATGGATTCAACTGCTGGCTGCAGCACAGTGATACAGCATTAGAATAAAGAAAATCTGTATCGTGATATTTAACTTTGAATAAACAGGCTGCATCCAAATCTTGTTTCTGGAGCAACATCCAGGTCTTTTGTAGTTACAAATGCATGGATGCATTTCAGCAAAAGATTTGGCCATGTCTGAATCTTGAAGCCAATTTTCAGAGACAACCTTAGACACTGACATAAACCTGGGTACTATTTCAGAAACCAGAATTATCTGATTGTTCACAAGACAGAGGGTCCAATTTCTTGTCAGGAATCCACCATTCTCATAAGGGCTGTCAAGAATTTTGAAAGGCCAAGTCATCCACATGGCATTTTGTCAAAGGCTTTTACAGTGTGTGTGCATGTGTCAACTCTATCCAACAAAAAAGTGCAGCTCGAATGGGTTTCAGGGGTTGAAGACTGTGACAGCCGGTAAACGAAGTAATGAATAGCACTGTTCTTCTATTTTTAGGTCTTTTGGGCCAATCTTACGGCTCCTGACGGTTTTTCACACACCTGTGGTGCAGAAGTGGGCAGTCTGGGCACTGGCAAATCTCTGTACAGTCTCACGTGAGTTTGGATTTAGTCTGGTTGGACTTTGAGTCTGACTGGCTGACATCTCTTTGAATACTTCTGACTGCAGTGACGGGCTGCAGGGCAGTTTTCCAACTTTGATAATTTTTTCCCAAAAGAAAATTCCCTCATTTGGTTTTCATTACCATAGATGGTTTGATAATATGGATAAATTTTCCCACACTAATGCTGCTGACCTTCAAATCCTTTGATGAATATTCATCAGAGTTGGTTTTGGCTTTTTGTATGACAGCATCAAAATATTGCAAGCTTTTGGAGAAAGAAGATGGGTTGAAAATTCTCCGTGAACTGGACAGTGACCCTCGAACGTCGCGGAGCGTCAGAGAACTAGTGCTGGTGACGCTACGGATTGTGGATGCATACCTTGACGAGCCAATGCACCACGTACACGTGGTCTGAGGGAGTGATGCCATCAAGTCCCTGATCCAGAACAGGTCGAAACCGTAAATTTGAATCCCTGATCTTGGAAAACTAGTGGCATGACCAGACTGGACCCAAGCCTTGTTTTCTAAAAGTTTTTCTAAACCTATGTGCTGTCTCCTGCATCAGCTCCGAGAGTTTGTAATGCTTTCTGGCTTTCACAGCTTAAACTTAACATGGGTCAGCATTCTTTCCCAGGAATATCAAAAAATTTAAAGTGTGGTAAATGTAAGGATAAACATTTTTCCATTTTCTCTGAATATCAAAGGCTTGTATATCAATCTGAAGCTAGGAGAAGCCACAGCTTGAGTTGATGGCCAGGTACACAAAAACAACCATAGAGGTGTAGCCAAAGGACTTTACCTTGAATTCCAGCAAATAGCGTAACCAGTTTAAGGCAAATCAGTAAAGGCAAACAGCTTTAAAGACCTTGCAGTACATCAAATATCACTTCATTAGTGGGGCGTCTCAATGTTGTAAAAAGTGAATTTTAGGTAAGAAGCACACAAATATTGTACAAATGGACCTCTCAAGGTTATTGATGTGTAATGTTTGGCCTTATAGATTCAGCCAACATCTTAACTTTTTTTGAAACTGAGTTTTCGGGTGAAGGATAATCCGATGGATTGGTTAATTTTTTTTGTGAAATGCGAGTATTAAGTGGTTAATTGGTCCGGGTTGGTCTGGGGGAATGGGACCTTGCATCCCCCAGAAAAAAGGGCACATTTATGTCCGAAAATAGTGTGAAAATAATGTGATTTGTGGGACTTCCATTTCTTTTCATTCCAAGCCAGTAAATTTAGCTTCCCTTTCAGAAAGGCCATAAACGGTTGTTTGTAGAAATTCCAAAAGTTTGGAGCCCCTGAAAAAAAATCTGAAAACTTTGTCCTCCCCCCCCAAAAAAATTTGAACCTGATCTTCGTTTGTTGCCGTGACGGTGTACAGCATAATGCATCGGTCGGCAGAGTTCAGGAACTTGAGACACGGACTTGTCTTCGTACATGCTTCTCCAAAACACCCATTCCAAAGGGGACCTAGTCCAGGGCATGAAGTCATGAGCATTTCAACTTTAATGAGCCTTGTGCCGTTCTCTGTTCCAGTCACAAGCCCCGTTGCGTACTTGAACTAACAAAACAGTCGCCTCAGCGGTAGATGTATAGTTCTAAAAGTAAAAATTGAATAATCATGCCCTATCTGGCCTGCTCAACACATTCATAGAATTTTTAAAAGATTCTTTTAACCACGATTTGAGGCATTTTTTTTCATGTAGGTCTGTAATGGTTGACCGTAGTTGGTAGACAAAAATATCTCACACAGTATTTGATAACAGGAAAGGGTTTAAATGTGCCGGGTTTAGGAGTGTTACATCAGCTTACCCAGTTACCTAAAATAAATAACTTATCCATTTTCCTGATTTTCGGAATTTTAAAACATTGTCAAGAAGAGGCATATTGTTGAAGAATGGTCATTTTAACTTACGTAGGTTCTATTGTAGACAAACCCTTCTGGTCCACGAGCATATAAAAATACAAGGTGGTGTGTGAGTAGTCTGTCGAGGCTGTGCCTCAAGGCTAATGATAAAGTGTGAACATGAACATTTGGACATTGCTTAACCCACACGTTTGACGTGTACAGGGTTGTGCAGAAAGATTGGCACCTGAGTGAGAGGTCTTTTGAAAGTACTTGGATAATTTCAACATACGCATTGTCCAAGTTCCCAGATTCTTGTCGCAAACAGAAGCCAGAGTTGTTTTGGGGAGCTTGATTTCTCCTTCATTTCAGTAAACATTCTCAGACTTTAAAGGACTTGACTGATAAAATGGGACTGAAAGGGCTGCCTTAGCAGCGTAGCCCGGTCTCACGGCCCTGCCCAGCCGAAAACAATAGTGCTTGGTAAAATTCTATGCTGAGCAAAACGGCTGGGAACCTGTTACAAGAAACGTGCTGTACGTGACAGTTTGGCTGGTATCCTGCTTTGACTAAGCAAATAGTTAATGGGCTTATGCAGGTACCTGTGAAGGATATTAACTTGGCCTTACAGGATGTTAATTTTATAATATGTCTTACCCCTACACCGACATCTACATATTCATGCTGTATTTTTAGTGAGATCTGAGAAATGCTTAGCATTGGTATGGAATTGGGTCCGGCCTCAGATGCATAGTACAACTCTGGGGATCATCAGTTTTATTGTATAAGCGGTCAAATATAAGGAAACAAGTTACAACCGTATGGATCATATAATAACAATAATAAGTAATGAATTTAGCCAATATGCATGTCAGGTTTGCATCTTTAATATTTAAAAAAGAAGAACGCAAGTATGTTTTATTTTGTAGACTTTAATTGGGGTGGGTTTGTTGCAAATTCATCAACTAGACAAGTCTTGTAATTCGAATGACTTTTTTTCTGGCAATGTATTTTGATTACATATTTTGTAATTCATCAACATAGTGTTACTATCATAATTATATGAGCTTAGTATCTGCAAAATATCAACGGTGTGTCTGTAGCACTAATCAACTTAACAGGTTCTGCAACAATAGATATTATGTTGATATTTAAATGATTTTCTACTATAAGCATAGCAAATAAGCTTTGTGATGCCTGTGAGTAACTGTGAAACATTTATGGGTTTTTTTCGATAAAGCTAGCTCCCAAATGATGTCGATTTGCCGTGTTTGACCGTGAGGGTGTGTTTATTTATAGTGGAGACTTGGCCGTGTCATTCCAGAATAGGGATGAAATTGTTTCTCGCTCATAAATACTAGACTGATTGCTGGAATGGATTAAAACTGATTTAGGGGTGACTTATTAGTTTACTGCTTAGTTTGAATACAGCGCTTTAAGCCATTTGTAAGATAGCCAGAACTGGCTTGCTGGAGCAACTAACTACTTCCTTTTTAATGCTATCTGCAGGTGCGAAATGCACTTTCTTGAAACAAATGCTTCTTTGCAGATCAGGTTGAGCTAAAGAGGTCAGGGTGTTGCCTCCTGAATCCAGCACTGATGGACACTTCATGGCATGGCAATTACGTCTTGTTTTCAGATTTTAAGATGAGTTCTCTTGTTCAGGGATGATGAATGCGCTAGCTTTACATCAGGAATCGTTGGATTTTGTTCGTCAACTCTAATCTATTGCTACATGGATAAACGAGAGTTCGACAAATAAGACATCGACGATTTGCTTCACGTGCAAGCTCTGACACCCTCTCCGCGAGAAAATTTGGAGTGTTGAATCAGCTTATGCAACTTCGTTATGCTTTAAAAGCTGCTTTCATGAAAGTAATCCTTAATTAAGATAACAGGTTGCTTTTCGATTCAGAGTGGTTCATTCGTGCCCTTTAATCCCCCTCCATGTATTTGCCCCACCCCGGATTTTTTCCGGGGGCGTCAGCGCCGGCTCATTGCATTCAATCCACGTGATCTCATCTCAAATTTTCCAAAGGACAAAGAGCAAAATGTGCACAGGTTATTGATTACCTTCTTTAATATCACAATCGCTGGAATCGATAATTTCCAAACCGTGACTAAGAGGATTAAATGGTTTTTGTTTCGAACAACTCTCCCGACCGAGATTACTCTCGATATTTGTTAACGAGCTGCGTGACGATGCATTGGGGTGCTTGGGTTCTCAGCGCGCTTCGTGACGATCCAGTCAGGTCATCAATCGCAGCCAGTTGGGGGGCCTTTCTGTTATTGCAATTTATTTCATTTTCCCCGGGATGAATAGTATTATAAAGAGACTCGTAATGGCACCTGTTTCGTCGCCTTGGTTTGAAACGTGTCTGTCTGCCTTTGCTGGGTGGTTAATCATGGGAGGTGATCTATCGGCGTCTATGTCTGCGCCTGCGTGCAGTGCATGACAATCGTCAAGCACTGCTCCGTGGACTGCCGCGCGAATCGAACAAAGTGAAGTGCGTGTTGGGTGGGACCACATAGGTAAGATAAAATTATCAGAGAGGCGTGGCGGAACAGAAGGATTAAGCTTCAGTTCTCAAGAAAATTCCTCTTTCGCCGAAATGGCTACTTGCCTTCTAGATAAACAAAAGAGCTGGGCTAGGGCCCTATGCTATTTGACTTTACCAATCACCATTTTAAGAAGAAGGTAAAAGCAAACAATCATGTTTTAAATCAGTAGACCTATTTTTTATCATTTTGAACAATTGGGCTGACGGATTACCCAAGAGATTGCGGCGGAGAGGGCGATATTTCAAATCACTTCGACATTGAGAGAGTATGATAATAAATCACCAGTGTAATAACACACATACGTTGTATGACACTTGTTCCATATTACCAAACTCGACGTCCCAAAAACCTAAGGGTAATGGGATAACATGTACAAGTATTGAACTTTGACCAGCTCTGTAGAACCACTTCAAACATCGAAAAACAATGGACCAGGCTTACTGGAAAATTAAAGGAAAACGTACGGTATTACTTGCTCTGTCATTAAAAACCCCCTCCCTACTAATCAGCATAGCCTGATACGAGAACACGTACATGGAGCCATGAAAATAAAAACACTGTACGTCTTGCCAGAAAACAGATCCAGCTAAAATTAAGAAAAAAGAAAAAGTCAAAATCATTCTCTGCCCCTGAGAGACGTAATAAAGATCCAGTCCATTAATATACTTCTTTTTGCCTTTGGCTCTGATTTTTTTTTTCTGCAAGCGCGCTGTTTTCCGATGGCTAGATATTACTCGCTTCTACGCACAGGAATTATTGTCTTACGTCGGATGCGTTTTTTACCCGTGCTTCATGTCATCTTATTGTTATTCGCCCTCACGCTCCTAATGACTAACTGGAGTTGATAGAGAGATGTATGCGTGGTACAGTGAAGCAGTGCATCCACCCCTTTGGTACTGCGTCATTAATTATTAACCGCCAGTCTCCATTATGGTTCATCCTCGCTACAGCACTGTCCATTTGTGGAAAAAATTCTCCACACATTTGGCAACAAACATCAAGCTCAGGTTTAAATCGATAATTTTTTGTAGTTCGATGTGAACGATGAATGGAATCGGTAATTCGGCATTATCTGTGTAGGAGGTGGGACGAGATTTCACGTGCGTGCATTATTATCAGCAGGCAAGGTTTTTCTTGTGCGGACAATTTCGTGACTAGACAGAGTAGAGCGTAGGCCGCGTGCAGTGCGTGCACTGTCAGACAGTGCGAGGCGCGCAGTGAAGTGATCGCGGCAGACCTGTGTCGTGTATGATCGTCTCCCTCATCAACCATCCATCTCATATGCGCGTTGCTAGTGGCAACGAAGGGTGCGAGCAACCGCGGGTGTCTCCCACGTTTTCTCTGCCTGCCTTTTAATTTCACTGTTAGGTCTGTCCACGTATGACAGTACTTTGGACAGGATTGGATCGTTGCCATTCTCTGAACTGAAAGCATGAAGAGGCACAGAGGTTAGAAATGATGCACACGCCGGCGATTGTATGTGGACTAAAATCGAAACGAATACAGTAATATGATATGGCCACCGCTCTACAGTGACATGATATGCACTGTACTGGCCCTTATACTGATAGATAGCAGCAGAGAAACGGCATTATGGACGGGGAAGTCGCGGTAACTGTGTCGGGCGTCGCCCCGGTAACTCTAATCGCTCAGATATCCATAGCTCTGATCGCTGTGGCAGTTACAGCGGTTTACATCCTGAAAAACCTGCCTGACCCTGGAGACAGCCCCAGGCAGGATAGCAGCGGCACCGCCCACCCAGGTTCACCGCGACGGATTGAGCAATTCCATGCAACATCGGGCGGGTACGGACGGGAGCCAGACACAAGGGATGCTCATGACGACGCTGACGGCGAAGCCAGCACCAGCCAGTTAAGGGAGGATGTTAATACGCAAGTGATAGATTCACGCGGGGAGTATCGTGAGATCATCTCTCACGATGAATACCACGATCTCTGCAACAGCCCCTCGCCAGGTGAACGACCGAGATCTTCCAGAAAGAAGGGGTCGTTTTCTGGCCACTCTAAAGAGTGGCCGACCTCACTGGAAAGTATTGACGAAGAAGATGAAGAGGAAGAAGATCTGAAGTCGGAGGGAGGTAAGGGAAATGAAGATGAACCCCAAACACCCAAGGGGAGCCCTAAAAGGGGATCTCGGGTCCCGAAGTGGTATTTCTCTAGATCTTCGAGTGGTATCCCTTCCTTGCCAAGAAATAGGGATTTGGACGCTCAGTTCAACCAGCTGGCAAACCAGACGCCTGATGAGGGTCAAAGTTCGTTAGGAAGTACTGTTTACACATATGAAGATGTTAGTAATGTGGATGAGTCGCGAAAAAGAGCCATCACTGGATTTTCCGGTACACCGATCGGTTTGTTGCAGCGCAAGCCATTACTCCGACAATCAGCAGCGCAATCACTAAAAGATGAATATTCATTTACCGGGAACACTTCCAGCCAATCACAAGCCGAAGAAACGGATAACACCGATGCTGCGCGGTTGAACGTCACGTTCAAAGATGACCAGAAGAGGGTGGACGTTCCTGATATTCAGACACGTGAACTCAACATACACGACCTCATCCCCAATGACAAATTTTCACTGCATGGATACACACTTGATGTTACCGATGAAATCAATTCGGCACAGTGGGTTCAAACACTCGCCTCTACTGTCATCCTACCAGAGAAATGCAAGGAGGAACTGCGGGCTGAAGTCGTGCGGGTTGATTTGGGGGATGAGGACGAAGGACAGGAGGAAAAAGTTCCAAAGGAAGACTTACAGTGCACGACCAAAGACAGACCAATACCCAAGCCCCGCACCAGCCTCGTGTGTATGAGTCACAACCCCCCGGCCACAATTTCTCCCCCCTCAACATCAGCGAGTGCGCCACCACAACTCACGAACACGCCGACTCATCACGGGATTCTCCAAGCGGGATCGGACATTGACCGGCCGCCAGCGAAGGAGCGTACCCCTTGCGCGGGTGCCGAGCAACCCCTGACAAATGCCAACGAGGGATTACACCAACAAACCAAATACGGCGAGTTGAGGAACATATTAAAGACCGACGCGGCTATTCAGCGTGGGCTACAAACAAGAGCGGGTTTTCTAAAGAAAGAAAATATTGACTTGACAGATAAGGACGACAAAAAGCCCCCGTCAGTGGGCCGTTATGATGATGAGGTTCGAGTTACGGCTTCACCCGACGCTCGTCTCTTTACAGTAGTGGGTTGCACGCCAAGCCCCATCAGCACATTTCGAGATAATTCTTGTGATTCGGCTGGGAAAGTTGTGGGAGAGGTTGAAATTCATCCAACGCCTGACGGTACATTTATTGCTGCTCCTACAGACACACAAGTCATTCTGGGTGGCGACCCTACATGTCCAGACCAACCAGTAACGAGCGTATCACCTTACGAAACTGGAACACCAAGTTTATCAACAGGAATATCGTTTGATGAGAGTGGATTACAGCACACCAACACAGCACAGAATGTTACACCACAGAATAAAAATACGCAAATTGATCAAGCACGTGCAGTCGAGGAACCCGATATATCCCATGTGACAATTGCAGCTTTAAACATTGCCACTGAGTCCAAAAATAAAGACTGGACAACGCTTCAGAACAGTGGTAGGGAACGTAATTCGTATGATTCGATACATTTGGAGAATGATGCAGTTGGTGACTTGCCCTGGGTTGCTGAAATAGAAAATCAAAGCTCTGATCTTAATGCGTTGAGAGCCACCCTGACCGAGAAACTTCAGTTTAAAAGACCGAAGGAGTTACTGCTGCATGAGACCAAGCCTCAAGGTCACCTGAAAAATTCAGAGACGTCTGATTCGGAGCTCTCGTCAGCTACAAGTCCAAGTGAAGTGGTTGCCCAGCAACGGGTGCGCATCCGTAAAAGCCTCGAGAAACTCAACGTGCCTGATTGGTACAAGAAATCCAATCATTACAAGCGCGTGTTAAGCGGTGACCAAAATCGCGATCTCCTTAGCAACCAATCTGAGTCGGGGCCTCGCATGACCAGGAGCCCCTCCTCTTGTCTAAGCGATTGCTGGAGCGTGAGCTCTTCAGAGGAGCCAACTCACCATCCGGCCGTTTCGACCAAACTAGCCTTCCAATCGGAAGCGCGATATCGCCGAGATTTCCCGAAGAGACTGCTGTACGAGCCGATCCGCAACGCCATCTCGTGCGCCGAGCTGCCGACCCAAAGTCCGATTAAGCCGACTGAAGTTGACGCACAGAATAACCACACAAGTGTGATTGATGATATCGAAATTGGACATAGTAGAAATGACAGCCTACCAGGTCAACCTCTTAACCAAATATCATCATCACTAAATGATGTAAACTCTAGCTCCCCTCAAAACCAACCATCGCCATCACACGGTCTGCGCTTGCGCAGCAAGTCCGAGGGGGATCATCTAGATCAGATCACGTATTTTGATTCACTGGCAGTGAAGCGACTCGAGCGTCATATGAACGATTCGATTTTTTTCGTCACTGGTTACATCAATGACTCACAGGACGATCTTGACGACGGTCAGTCTGACAAGAACAGCCTCTTTGCCAGTGGAAGCCTTCCCGATGAATCCATAGACGACATGGAGTACCAGAGGCAGATGTATGAACTAAGGAAGTCCTTTGAGCGGGTTTCGGTATCACCTGAGTTGCAACAAAGGCAAACAGCAACGGACAACAACAATTTGTCGCATGGAAGTGGTTATTTGAATAGGGAAGTGGACACTTATCGCATGCCCTATGACAGTGAACTCAACAACAAACACACGCCAAAAAGAACAGGAAGCTTGGACACTGAATCGCCATTTTCATCGGGATTAAGTGGTGATTATCGAAGGGACAAGTTCATGGAAAGGCAAACACAGTGGACACCAACACCAGCCCCACGCACGAGTATTATCGAGAGTCCGCAAATGCAAAGTTATTCGTCTCTGACCGAGGCCCAGCAAGACCAGGAGCTGAAGCCAGATCCCCGGTACAATCCCGACGGGAGCAGGAACGTCAAACTCTCACCAAGGTTTGCAATGGTTACCCCCAGCCCAGAGTTGCCTAAGAGCTCGCCAAGGAACCCAAGTCCTCGAAAAACAACCGTCAAGATAATGATCACCGACACGTCACTGGAAGACGACGACAGCGGCCCTTCAAGTGGCCACCGTAGCGACCAAGATCCGGTCTCTGCGTCATCGTCTGACCAGGAGACCGTGGTTGACGGCATGACGAATTCGTGGACTCCATTAGATCTGGAAAAATTAAAAGACTCCGAATTTGCTGCTGTGCTCTCTGTCATCACATCAAGACACATGAAGCCTGGTAACAGGTCTGGGTTTTACATCCCTGGAAGCAATTTCGTCCCTCCTAAAGAGGTCACAATGGAGGAGATTGTAGATAGTTTACTAGGTCTGCCGTATCAGCGGGCTGCAAGTGCTGTTGATCTAAATAGCAGCGGGTACCGGGGAAGCAGCTCCACTTCCACGCCTCTGACGTGTTCTACGCCAGATCTTAGTTCCTCCTGGAGCCACAGCCGAGGCAGCACTCCAGTATCTACATCCGACAAGAGCCACAGTGCTGACAGTCTGTACAGCGAAGATGGCAATGTATTAAATTCCATCGTCATCGGTAGAAGGCGGCAGGATGAGGGCAATTACCATGACGAGAGATTCGAGGAGGGGGACAGCGACGCGATTGGTGAGGAGATCATTATGGTGAAATGCAGCTACAAAAAGTGTGCCAAGACCAAAGAACTCTCTGAGGCCCGGAAGTCATTCAAGACTTGTCACAACTGTTACACCTACTACTGCTCCAGGCAATGCCGGAAAATGCACTGGCCCCGTCATAAGAAACGCTGCCTTTTCAGTCGCGTTAACAGTGTCTGCAAACATGTCATCTATCACAGTAGGTACAACGGGCAGCTTCAGTCAGACCTGACGCGCGTTGCGCGCACAGGCTACCTCTCACGCGGACGTGGGGCAATTCTGCTCATCTTTCCTGATACGGAATCCGCAGAGAACTACACCGAGAGAGGGTTTGACGCTTTGCCTAGCGCACCGACGTACTCCACCGTCCGCGAGCTGGAAACCTCAGATCTCTTCGGTGACCACATGAAGTATCTGTTGGAGATGTGTCACACTTACGATCCCGACAGAAAGTTTGTGTTGAATGTTGCCATCATGGCGAACACAGAGGAACATCGAGGCAACAGGCCAAGACGGACGGACACTGCCGTCAAAAAATGCGCCAAGCTCAGTCTGGTGCCGCCACATGCGGATCCTTCCTCGACAAATCCGGATCCAATCCCCGACACACTCATCATTACCTCCCCGTCCGGCTCGCAAGGAGACAGGGAACTCAACAGGAAATCCAGGCAAGTGTGCTTAGTGCATATTCAGCGGCAGTTGCGGCAGCGTGGAGTGAACCTGCGACACCAGCATCCAGAGATCTACGACAGGCTCTGCCGTTGGGTCGAAAACCACGAGCATTTTACCCCCACAACCATTTATCCCTTGGACGAGCAGACAGGGAAGCGGTTTATGTGTGTGCTGATGCCAGAGGCAGAACCAGACGATTTGGGATGGATCAACAACCCGGAACTCCTTGAAGACATTGACCTGGATGCAGAACTTGAAAAACTTGAAAATGTCGCCGGAATGGTGGTAACTGACCTCTGATAATGCCTTTTCACGCTTTTGGTCCAATATGAATCCCTTTGAACTGCATCGTTCAAAATTGAAAAAATAGCTTGTAGTCGATGCAAAGTTTTCGGCAACATCGAATCTGTTTATGCATAATCGAATTTCACATCTATTTACTGTGTGAATTTGAAACTGATTAAACACCAGCCTCTTGTGGATTTTTAATGAACCTAAATCCACACAAAGCTGACTGTTCAACTGTTGAGGAAATGGCTCCGTCGCCTGCTCTAAACTTTAATTTTAAATATGCAGCACTTTCCTTTGCATAGTTTCAGCATCGAGCGTCCTGCAATGAACGTGTCAAAATGTTTTATTCTGTATTAATGGAGAATGTTCTGCCGGTGGGCGAGGTCTACTACTGTATCATAGATACCTGCACTTTGTGACTACACTACGAGAAAAAATGCAAAACACTTGTACTGCCCTGATAAACTGTTGCCATGGAAACGGGGGAAGTTTGCTTTATTCATCTCAGAGGAAGAGTGATCGTTAATCCGGAGAGCTATCCTCGAAGAACGACGGGAGGGGAAGGTTTTACGTGAGGGAATGTGGATACTACAAACAATCAAATTTGCTCACGAACAAACTGTTCCAACTTGCAGTTAGTTGTGAGGAAAATTTTCATCATCGCCTACATGTAAGTGCCTTTTGCATTTTTTCAAGCATAGTCAGAACCTGACCAAAGAGAAAAAGAAAACATTTTTGCACTGACGTTCAGCAAACTACGGATTTATTTTGGTATATAATTTTCAGAAACAGATTATTTGAGCGGGTAATACTTGTTTTATTATTTTTATTTTTAAAGTCAAAGATGTTGCTAGAAGTACATAATTTCAAACACTGATGTTCAGAATTCTGTTTTTTAACAGAATGCAATATCCGGTCGGGGTAAAACCTTTCATGTGCAGTCAATATGTACATTTCAGTTCAATGTTTAAGTACCCTTTGGCATCTCATAAGTCCCATATTACTTTCACGACTTCAGTTTTCTGCTGCCACATCACGTACAGTTTATGTGTTTTAGATCTACTCTACGTGTGCGTGTTTGAGAAACCAATGAATTCGAAAGCTTGAGCAGATATTTGCCCATCACGAAAAAAACTGCACCACATTCAAATATTTGAACAATTTACTGCACCACACAAAGGCGTAATATGCAATAAGTCTGGTGCATCCACTTCAGCAAAAATGCAATTTAGTGTGGATGTTTCTTAATGCTGTAAAGTGTTCATAAACACCGGCTTATTTTAACCGATTTACGCAGTGGGTGCCAAGTATAAACCTTTCTAGCAATATTTACGCGAACCAACCTTTGACACAACGCAATTTAGCACGAGGCGTTTAAAGCCCTCCCCTCGACGACTGCCAGGTTTCGTGTTTGATCTAGCGCGCACCTGTCATTTCGACTGTGCGAAATCGGCTAATTAATTGACTGAACTTCAGAACCTGTTGTTCACAACGAGTATTTCTCTTTTTTACCGGATTAAACGGTTTGTGATGGCAACAATCTAGCCCAGTACACACTAAAGTGATTTTGTATACGCAAACAGCAGTTAAAAATTAAGAGATAAATTGGCAACATGCCAAACGCTTTTTAAAACATCATTGAAACAATACATGCACATTAAATAACCGAATTTTAACAATGGCACAAGGAAGAAAAAGGAGGATACTGCTCATACACTGTCGCTATGGTTGTCATGACAACACCAGATCATTACCGTCATCCTCATACATTACAATGTCGCCATTATTCACTTTAAACCTCCTCCCTTTATTTTTCAATACCTGTACTAGAGTCGATGAATGAGAAAAGCGAAGCCTGCGCGTATTTCCACATCTTGTCTAATTTTCATCTACTTGCTGTAGTCTTGTTTTCATCCTGCACTGTCGTTCACCTTGGGAAAATAATCCTTGGTGACAATATCTTCATCATTTCAAGTTAATTTCAAATCGCGGTGGACCATAAAATGGGGAAAATAATTCGCACAAGAGGCCCAAGGCAAGGAATATTGTTGTTATGTAATTGTCAGCCATTAACCAGTCGGCCTCGCGTCGGGGTAGAATTTCCCTCTTGCCTTTCATCACGATGCATACTGCTTTAGTATTACACAAACATGGATGAGAAATCTGAACCTTTTGTTAACTTAAACCGACAAACAAGGTGCCTTTTGACAGGAACGTGTACGCGGGGACAAAATGAAAGCAACCTAAATTTGCTTGCTACCTACTGCCACTTGGACCGGACTCGGACTGGCTCGTGTTTCATTTCAATCGCCTAAAGAAACTATGATCCAGTGATAGAAATCTTAATCTCTGATGGAGTAAAAAGTGGAAAAAATTGTTTACATTTTAATTGGATTTTGTTGAATTGGGTTTCACATGTATCTGACATGGTTTGATCCATTATTTACATGGCACTAGCAGAAACGGACGACACATCCTTTTCCATTTGTTTAGTTGCTAAATGAATGTATAAAAAATATATTCGAAGACTTGAGATTTGAATTTCAATGTTTAAAACATAATGAGTTTTTAAAGTTAGAACACTCAACCTTGACGATGAAAATTTAATGTGAGTAATCTTAACGTGTGGTTTGAGCTCAAGGTGAAAATTGATGGCTTTTAAATTGACTGAACTCTATAAGTGGTAAATACCGCAATTATCAGTTTTAAGGACAAAGAAAATTTTGCATTCGAGGAAAAGTCAAGTTTAACTTTAGCTACACCGAATCGACGGTGTGAATGCAATGACACTTCAAAATGTGTTAAAAAATAAATTGAATTTGAATTTATTTATAACACTACAATGATTAATCTTTTCATTCGAGAAAATATTTAACGAGTATTTGTATGGAGACTTGCATCTTATATGAGTGTTATTCTGAATGATTCCATTGCGATTTTTGGTGAACGGAAACGAAACAAATGGTTGTATTGTGTTTAGTTATGTCTTATTAAAGTTTTTATAACAAAGAAATCCAAAAATCCAAAGACAGACCACCACTGCTCACTAAGTTTTTTCGTTAGACATTTCAAAAGTACACCGAAGAGGGTTGTCTCGACAATTTCGCGTATCAGACCAATCCGAATACACACACAATTATGAACCTGCTAATATAGTGCTATATCTTGCCTGTTGTTCATATACGATCACCAAAATATCAATGTTTCCTCGATAACGCTGGTGTCAACCCCTATTAAAAAGTGCGGTATCACAACCGCCCAAAGTCCAGTTTGCAGGGCAAATAAAAGCTTATAGTGAATCTCAAGCAACGCGGACCCCTTGAATCAATAACGGTGTGATAGAGTTGCTAAGGACTCGACAGAAAGGAGTCCCATTTTATTTGCGAGGACGATAATTGACTTGTTTTATGATCTTAATTTTATGGCCTTGCTTTGCAAACTATAAACACCATGTAGTAAAGTACGCTTGCAGGCTATCAGTGTTTTTTACTGTGTCGTGGGATGAGTCAAGTGATTTCCGTTTAGTTGGTGGGACTCTTCCCAATTCAAATTAATTAAGTTAATGCCATTTTGATATCAAAACACAAGTTTGTTCAACGTACATGTACTTAGCCACTACAGTCGTTTCAAAATGGTGCACCACCAAGAGTTTGCAACGCGTTAGCCAATCACAGTGCGCGAAATTTGTCGACCCAATGCGCATTTGGAAAGGGTCGACAAATTTCGAGCGTTATGATTGGCCAACGTGTTGCAAACTCTTGGTGGCGCGCTGTTGTGAATCGCCCGTATTAAATAACCAACCAAGACAATGTTTAGGTTATATATTTTTTCATAGGATCACAAACACAGTGAGTCATGTAATGAAATAATAAAAATAAAAACTAGCTGTGTCGACCTGATCTAAAAACAACACAACCACACCCTTCAAAGGACTGGGTCTTTGCTGAGTTTTTGTTTTTGTTTTTCCAATGGAATGACAATGACTGCGGAAGAATATTTTAAATTTAAACAGTAAAATAAGCTTTTTTCAGTGACATACCAATTCATTTCATGATCATTGAATTAAAACATGAATTGGCCACGCCCCCTTTAATCAGAGTCTGTCCAGATTTTCCACACAAAAATAATAAATCATATCAATTGTTCTCACATCTAAAATGAATTTCCCCCCATCGATTATGCAAATGAATCGCAGGCCTGTCGAAACCCCGTCTTTCAGATTACAATCACGACCACAGCTGGCTTGCAGCCAGTACGTCTGCGTAAACAAATTCTGCATATCAAATAATATCTATGCGACAGCTGCGATTAAGTATGGATATCTCATTCCATGTGATGAACACCAGTGGATCGCAAGGCCACCTTGGATCGCTGTTATGGATCGATTGATTTCCTTTACCTGAAATGTCACAATCGTTCTCGAAGCGTTCAGCCGATTGTTTCCATACCAGTCAAAGTGCTGATGACACACCCTTAATGACCATATAAGATTACTAAGGAAATCACAAATATCGAGTTTCAAATTGCAGTATTACAAAATGTGTACATTTCACTGTGCTTCCATTACTGAACCCGGCTCAGTTGATGCAATTTCCGAATCAAGCTGTAAAAATGCGTTCTCGAAGTAAAAAAGAGGCGTTGGCGTCGATGAACAGCGATCGCCGTTGTGCACACTGTAATATGGTTATTGCACAAAATTTCTTCCATCCTTTCAAGAAATAATTTCAACTAGCGGAGATATGTTTGTTGATAATAACTCTTATGTCTTCAGATTTGCATGAGCAAATTTCAACACGTACATACGTATTTCATGATTTTTTTTTCAGAAATACAACGCTGATTGTTCCATATTTTGCATAATTATCAGGATTCTTCGTGTGGCCGTGTTTCACAGACATAGCCTCGCCACTGGCTGCTTGGAAGCAAGCGTCCCCCGATTTCTAAGATTAAAGGAAGTCATCCTTGGATCAGTCTGCCTGCCACATCCCAACGAGAGGATTTTCCTGCCCTTCAGGGCAGAGCGAGGGGCATTATAACAAAGCCGGTAAAACATCGGATGAACATTGAGATAGCATCCTTCTTCGTTCTGAGTATTCTCTGGAGGGATGCGGACCTTTTTTTCTGCAACTGGTCGTCGAGAATGTTTCCTATACCGTTCATGGGACTGCAAAGCACACAGTCACTTACCGATTTCGCGGGAGTTTCACCTTGCGGAAACTTACGATAATGGTCGTGAGATTTGCTGAAGCGTTTCTAAGGACTGGGCCATTTGGGACTGAGTTATTCTAAGGGTTTTGGGCCAATAGATTTACACGATTTTCTGATATTTCCGGAAAGAGGTACACGTATTCCTAAATTTCTCAAAAGGATGTTTTGTATGGGTAGAATTTTAATTTCTTTTTTGTCTTTTTCTTCTTCTTCTTAACATCTTTACGATGGGCAAATGTGACTGATTCAATTGAGGAGAAGAAAGGAAAAAATCTATCTGAGTCAAAACATTCGTGACTTAGACATATTCCGAGGATGAACACAAGTAAAATGTCGGAAGATGTTGGCCTTTAATTTGATTCTAAGATCACTGCTGTCGCCTCTGTACCTCTGTCACTGGGGCTTTCTATCCATACTGCAATTGTGGTTGATACTTGAAAACTACTAAAACTTACCATATTATTCCATGCACTTCTTGAACGTATGCGTGAGGGCGAACCTTCGGTAAGCCTGAAGTACCGAAACTCAAAAAATGGCGTCAGACTTGTTCGATCCAACCGTATGTCAAGGCGTTGCTAGCACTGTTCAGTAGCGAGTTTTGGGTCACGAGCGAGACGGCTTCTCATTGGTCCAAAGTGCCTCTGTTGACTTTGCAGACCCACCTATACCGGGCCTATGGTATGCATATCATTTGCGTAACAAAAGGAACAGGTGTTCAGTGACGGTCTATGGAAGCAGCTGTTTTGAGTCATGAGGTGTAGCAAGGTTCTGAAGTGCATTTATGAGAAAAGAAGGGCTCTGTTTTTGTATTTTTGTTAGTACTGTTTTGTTCAAATGCAAGCTTGGATTGACCATACTGAATCTTGTATGCAGTGGCTTGTGAGTGTGGTAGGCATGTAGTTGTAGTTAATGGAGTGTTGATTGAAGTGATATATTATGTTCTCCTTACCTGTGTTCCTACGTGATGAACTTTTGTTTTGGGAAATAGGATAATGTAATTTTCAAATTTAAGCCCCGAACCAGCACTTTGGCACGCACAAACTCCTTCAATTGACACCTTTAACGAGGAATGCTCAGTACGTCCCCTCTCTTCGGATGGGACTGGGTCTTCGCCTCTGTTTTGTTTTTGTTTTGTTTTTTTTAATCTCTGAGGAATACCTACGGCATTTTTAGCCACATGAAAAGATGCCAAGCGATTTCATTCTTTCACAGTACTGAAGTGTAGAGCCTACGGTGGTCCTGAAGGACCGTTTGGGCAAAGGCACCTCTTTTTTGTCATGGCAAAATCTTGATTTTTTTCACGACGTCGCAAGTTTTACTTGTTGTTAAGCAATGTCGTGTAAATATCTCTTGTTTATCATTTTAGGGTTCAAATGAGAACAGTTTTGAAATCAATTTCCTTTTAATAAAGAGGGTTAATTAAGCAAGTCAAGGTATCCAGTTAGAGAGTAATCGAAATTACTTAAATTGGCTGTGGTATTATCGTTTTCTATACACGATACACAACTTCAATTGTATTCCATTTACGGAATTACAGTCACTGAGTGGGTTCCCCCCCTTAATGTCACCTAAACGAAAGAAAAAAATCAGAAAAAAAATCAAGTGAAACTAAATGGTCAATGCAGATATTAATTATTTGTGTTGCATATTTTAATTTCTATACTTTTAATGACCAAACAATTTGGCAGATTCTTCTTGAAAATGTCGGACTAAATCACAAGATGAAGTGGAACTACATGTATTTGTAAACTTCAACTCTTGTATCCTAACGAAAGATTCAAAAGAGTTTTTTTAGCATTAACTTTCGCCATAATTTCTTAATTGAATATTTTTAATCCGACAGTTTCAGCGTATGGTTGATTGTGTAGATTTGTGTGCATGCAAACAAGCCAAATATTTGAGCAGGGTTTTACAGTTTTTGTTAAAGTAACATGGTCGTAACTATTTTCTAACCCCGAGCGTTTCCAAGAGAAACTTAAATCTGTTGGACTAGCACTTTGTCGCTGACGTTGTGATTTGGTTTCTTTGCCCATTCATGCAACAAAAGTGCTACTGGTTTTATTCAGTCACGTTCATATTTCAATTTGTATATTCAATTCGATTTTGTACATTTTGGTTCAGTGATCTATTTTATCTTTGTTAAATTTTAAATGTACAGTTTATTTATTTCAAAGGTTTGTCGCCAACACTTGCCTATAACTACTACTTTCTTCGGTTTTATATGCTTGATGTAGTCTTAAAATGCAAAATGTAACGTTTGAAATTCGCTGATTAATAAGGGAGTAGTGGTTTTTTTTTCAGTTCTGTTTTGAAGCTGACCTACAAAGCTAGAATTTGGCATTCCTGCTTTTATCAAATACTTGTATCAAATACTAATAATTTAATATTATAAGATAATATTTGAATTTTGGTATTTTAACGTCTTGTTCAGTTTTACATTGCTAATTTCCTTTATTAACATCTGCAGAGGGTATAAGTTTTGAGTTTTGTGTATCCAAAATATATATTAATTTAAGCGTACAATAGTGTATCAGCTGGATCCATACGTTATAAATTTGTATTTTTATCATTTTTACTTCATCAGACATTTCGAAAACATTGCGTGATTCTATGTGGTGGCAACTAATCAATAAACAATGAAATAATTAACTTGCACACGATAGGATGGATACCAAATTAATGGATGACATGTGAATGCATGGCAATGCCTATGGCAACGTAGGCCTGCATAATGAATTATTATAAGCTGGTAACCATGGCAACACAAACCTCTCCTCAACTCAAGGCAATCTGATAAATTATTGAAAAGGGGGAAAAATCTTGATAAAATAGAAGTACCCATTTTTTTTCTTCCTTTTCTCTCGATGCGCCGTCGGTGATCGTCGAGATAAAAGACCTCGCGCTATGTAAGATTTTGGTTATTCAACTCGAGAAAGGAATCGATACTGGCTGGGCCTAGACTACCAATGTACATGTACACTATATGCAGGATTTGCCGCCACTGACTTACGTGATATGAATCAATTAACAATTAGAAACGTTGTGTGGTATGATAAATGTATCTTGTTTACTTCAAGAATGGTTGCTATTTTCCTCTGACAATCTTCGAATCATTTTCTGTTTCTTAAAGTGCATATGCGTGTATATAAAGTAAGTAGGAATGGGTAAGCAGTGTTGGTAATAATGAAAAATGGCTTCGTCCTACAACGAACTTCAATATTTCACTCGCTTGTCTAATCTTTGAATTTGTGGCGTTCACTCGCATGTGCATGAGAAATTTCATGAGGTGGTGCTTGCGTTTTAGCTTATTGTTTAATATTAATCGCTTGCTTGCATTGCTGCTGAACGACTGTTTTGCAATTGGTCAGTTTTCAACATGCAGCATTTCACGATTTGAGTGGGAAGATGTGCTTGTATAGGCCTATTAGAACTGTGAAACGCGAGTGTCATTACATGCTTTCCAGCATTTCCAGGCATGCCGTACTTTGAGGAATTTTTTGTACCACTTCTTGAGACATCGACTGAAGATTCTTTTTTTTCTTCTTCTTCTTTTTTCTTTTTTTTTTTTTCATTTCTATACGAATTTTGGTCGAAGGCAAATCATGCCACATAGACAGTGACGTGTTCGGAGCAGTGGCCGGTTTCAATTTTTGTAGGTGTGCCTGTGTGATGTGTGTGTGTGCTTTTAAGCTAATGTAGAGTAAACTACAGGTTCAAGCCGTTGTGTGCGAAACAATTAACATTTGGGGATTGCTTTATCGAGTATTATTTCCCCCGGGAAGATGCCGATTACTTCACAATTTGATCATAATAAGTAAAGTAGATGTGTGGAAGAGGAATAAGGTTGAAGTGTGCTTGGTCTAGTCTGGTTCTCACAACGCAACACAAAAGCAAAAGCTTTGTTTTTCCCTTCCCGGTCAAAATCATGACGCAAGCACCCCCCCAAAAAATTTACATTTATATGAGATCCCCAGTTTGTCTTGCCAAACCGACGTCTATGAGGTATAGTCGTTAATCCGTTGTCTTTTAACATATGCACTTGCAATTTGGAATATAGCCGATGTCAATTTCTGCTTGTGATTCTAACTTCGTTTACGGGTGAGAGTGGTTTTATGTTAACCATCTCTCTTGATCCAAGTCACAATCTCGTTGTCTCGCTTGTGTAGTAGTAAATTCTGAAATGTTTGCAGTCAACTCCACACGGTCTCTGTCTTGACATTTTTAAAGTGCACTTAGCTTATCGTGGCACGACGTGTCACATCACACTGTCACTGTGTCTAATGAGGAGTAAATGATCGCATTAAATCATTCCCTGGATGTCCGCATTTGCATAATGAGGCTCTTGTGTGTCTGTTGTTTCACGAATGTCTTCTTCCTCGTTATCCATTCCGGTTGCACTCAAGGCGGGGTCCTGCCTCATGAGCCTGTAGGGGCTCTGAGCTCCGTGGTTACACTGAAGTATCCATGTCTTGGATTGGGGAACAAAATTCATTATTTTATTTTTCTAAAAACGCCACTGTACTTAAAGGTAAGAGTGTAAAATACAAACGAGAGCATGTTTATTTTGGTGGAAATCGACGGCTTCCTGTCGTCCATAATTTTCCGATTTGTGGAAAAACAACTGATTTGATATTTTGATATTAAAATTGTAACTTTAAAACTGGTTTTTAAATATCTATAATCTAAGAAAAATACCAGGCATGTAACAAGTCTACTATTTTCCCTGGCAAATGTTTCCTTCCTTGCCTGTCATTGCTTAACAAATAATAGCAGAGGGCGCTTCAACCATCAAAATGCGATGTCATCAACAGACAGACGAAAAACTGAGTCAAGTGTCATTCAAAAATAGTCCATATTCAACTTGAAGCGTTTTAATATTTAACACGGTACAATATCAAATCCATATTCTTACACTGGTCACACATTAATCTAAAACTGTAACACTGTTAATGTGGCAACTACGCATACTCAATCAATGATTTACCACTTACTTGTTTACTTTGGTCTTTCACAAGGAAATGGAAGAATTTACAGGTTGGTTTCTGCATTAACTCTCCCCACAATTGAGTCCAAATGTCAATTGATGCAGTAATAATGCAGGTGGCTGAAGGAAATAAACATTAACCTTGGATATATCCAGAGAGTTCATGGAATGAAACTGGACAATTGTGACAACGAAATAGACTGAGATGTTGATGAAATCTCCTGAAATTGGCAAACACATAGGAAAGATTTTAAAATCATATGAAATTCGAGAGACAGATTGAAACACTTGTGAATTAAACAAGTCACTGTTCAAGATTAACTACAAATGAACGACACTGAAGCTGACATTCTGCAAAAAATACAAGGAACAAACTTGTGACAAGGCGCACAAATTCAAATCCCGTTGGATCTACTTTTTTCCTAATTTCAGTTTATGGTTATTTTCAAATTAGGCTGTCAATGTGTCTCGAAAATGTTACCGAAACTAGTGGGTAACATATCAGTTTCATCACTGGTATTCCCACAAAGATCAAATGGGTATTTTCGTGATCATTTTGCGGGATTGTGGTGTAGCAAGGCTGACATGTCATTTTGTCTATCACACACACTGCGATACTCCATTTTCTCCACCCAATTTCCTGAACATTTTGTGGCTCTCGTGGGCGGATGGCTATATCGAATCATTCTTATCTCGCATAAAATCTTCAAACTTAATTTTCGCCCGGCTCCATGGCACAAGAGACTGTCTTCGGTTTGGGCTTATTTTGAGCCTGGCTGCCCACGGCCGGCCGTGTTGTGCTCCTGATAATTAGCAGAAATGATTCGATTATGGGGGGCTCGCGGGGCCAAGGGGCACTGTGGAGATAATGATGTTATCCGCGTGCTGTTGCATTTCTGACTTACACTGTCTTTGGGAAAATCATGCAGAGAGAATTTGAAACTGTTAGGTACATCAGTATCACATCCTGCAGATTAAAAAACGTTATCACAAAATAATGATTTGAGGAGAGATATGTGGAGGAAATGTGATATTTCTATTTTAAGCACCTACATCATAGCATGTTTTTAACTCCATCAACATCCAGCCTTTCAATTTCAATATTTTTTCACACACCACAGTGTACATCCTCTTTCAATAATTAAGATTTTGTACACTGTAGTGGCACATCCTATGTTTCCCAGCCCTAAGAACCTCATCTCCCTATTTCAATATGATTTTTCACACCGCCATGGGGCACATCCTGTGTTTTTAAACACAAACCCTCAGTCACCCAATTTTTTTATTTTTTTTTTACACGACCTGGGAGTTACTGTTTAACAGATGTGAAGCCAGTGTTTCTTAACCCCGGCAGATGCAGTTCCTCCAATTTTTTCACACACAAGTTTTTCACACACCCTAAAGGTAAGGGTAGATGACCATAAATTAGCCCCACTAGTGTGACATGGACTCTCCCGATACATCCTTAGATCGGGAGTGAGAGTCCGTGCCACACTAGAGGGGCTAACCATCAATGCACATCACAGAATGGTATAATGTGGACATGGAAAAACAAAGCCCAGCTTCAGGGGAATCTTTTGATACAGTGTTTTTACAACAGGTTTTTTTTTAACGGATCTATTTTTACCTCATGCACTAAGTTTCAGATTCGGGACACACCTGTTCTAATTTTTTATCTCGATTTAAGTCTGAGCAAGTAGTTTATCCCACAGCGGTACTGTGACTTAAGAAATCTGACCCTTGCACTCCAAGGTCCTTCAAATCCACCAGGAAGTTGAGAGGATTTTACAAGACTGAGGATGATGGAGGTCACTCATCATCACTTTACAAGGGGATTGATTTTGGAAGATCTTGAAAAGTTCCGATAGCTACAATGCTTGAGGATGTTAGGCTAAACATTCATAAAGACTTGGCCATGTTGGAATCAGGAGGGGGGTGGGGCAAATTGCCCACTTCTGGAAAAAAAAGGAAAATTTAAAAAGGGGAAAAGCAGAGAAAGCGAGAGAAAAGAAAAAGGGAATAAAAATCACCAATTCTTTTCAAATGACCTTGGAGTTGACCCCCTCTCACTGTTAATGGCTCCTCTGTTTGGTGCTGATGAAAGTTTTCTTCATCTCTCCCCTCCCCCTCCCTCAACTAAGAAAATGGAGTCCTGCCAACTCCGACAAAATCCTAGCAAAGCCTATAACTACATCTGCCAGTTGTTCAAACTTGTAGAACTTTAATTAGGACAAATGGGACAGTTGTGCAAACTACACCAGAAAACGTAATCTTGAATGTGTCTAAAGGCATAGACATGAAATGTGAAAACTCTTGGAAATTTCAACCGCTGTGTCACTATTTCCAGTAATATTCTGTTTCTTGAGTTAGCTTGTTCTTAACTGAGTATACTTGGAGTGATGTACGGAAACATTCTACGAGCAGAATCAGCAACTCATTTGTAAAAAAATAATTACCGGTACTCCTGTCATAAGCACTACATAAATACCGTTTACCATCACCATAATAAAATTAAAATGAGTTTACATAAAATTACAGTGTTCTTTTTACAAAACTTTAAAAATCTGGCTTCTCTTCATGGACTGCAGGAGAGGCAGCAGGATCGTCTGTAGCTGTCGTAGCGGCACAGGTTGGCTCGGCGGATCAGGTTGCAGTCGGCTTTGGGGCTGTCTGAACATGCTGTAATAGAATGGCGATAAATAAGTACTGTTGAGATAGTCATTTGACCCCAACTATCCTAATACATTCTGCTAGTAACTTAAATAAGTTCTCCTGAATCCTTTCACTTTGCAAGAATTCAGTATCATAGTCTTTGAAGTTTAACTTTCGAGGGGTGTCATTATGTCTTGTTTAAGAAGCTTGTCGTCAAAATTACTCAGCTGCAGAAACTGCACACGACTCCATTCAGAGAGGCTGTAGCCAGTACCATAGACTCGTACGTACTTGTACTTTCAGGATGCAGCTAAGTAATTCAGACACAGCAATGGTAATCTCTGGGTTATGCCTTCCTCAATCCTACCAAATCCTACGAAACCTCCTGAAAGATTTCAAAGGATTCAGGATCTAGACAGAAAAAGTTTGCTTAGATGACTTCAAGCATCTATGTTGCACCACAAAGGCAAAAAAAATGAAGCTAAGGAGTTGAACTTCTTCAAAAACTTCATAGAAAATAAATGCAAAAAAGCAATTACGGTAGAACTTAATAAGCGCAGAACTAAGACTTAATTTTTGAAGGAGGTACGGGTATAAGTGCAACCTCCAAAGTCAGTGAGACTGCACACCTTTCACCACAAGAGGGCACCATACAGGAAAATACCTGTATAAACTGGACATCCCTGGATGTCTGTTAATAACTGTGCACAAGTGAAAGATGGTCAATCAGGCTTTGATCTGATACGTGTCTTGTTACTACCTTGGAGTGAGAGGGATATTCACTGTTACCAGTTTTTGGAAATGCGAATATGGGTGAAGCTAGGAGAGGTGTATGGGGTCAGAACTAATCTCCCCCCCATTGGAGGTCTACTTTGGGGAGGATCTCCCCCCCCTATTGGAGGTCTACTTTGGGGAGGATCTACCCCCCATTGGAGGTCTACTTTGGGGAGGATCTACCCCCCCCATTGGAGGTCTACTTTGGGAAGGATTTTCACCCTGTTTGTTCTGTATCAGTTTTCATGGAACCACTGACCAAGCAATTCCTTAAACCAAAGTTCACCCAAAGTCTTTTGTACGATTCATGTTTATTGATTGCTCTATATGTTAAGCATGCCCCTTGTGGACAACAGTTGCTACTAACCTAGAAGAATCCACGCCCTTTCGCACAAGTTCCGTTTGGACTCCCATCGAGCCTTCCCTATGAGGCTGACCTTTTCACTGTGTTTACTGGTCTGCAACAAGTTGGAAACAAATTGGGTGATCAAGGGGAGGAGGGGCTCACCTGGATTGACAGTGGGGCAGTCACCCATGGCACAGGGCTCCCAGCTGTCGGGCTCCTTGTCCTTGTTACAGTTCAGATGGGACTGGTTGCGCTTGCGGTTACAGGTGACCTGTCTGGTTCGCCGGCCGTTGCCACAGGTCACTGAGCACTGTGGAGGAGTGGAATTGGTGGAATGTAAAGAAAAGATTGTTGAAAGGTGGGACAGGTAGACTAAGGAGGGGTGGATCAGGATGGCGCACATGGGAAAGAAAACCTAATGGCAAAGCTAGCTGGAGACTTGCAGACGCATTGTCTGAGGTTCACTGCCC